TTTTTAAAAATGAAAAAAAAAAAAAAAAAATCTCTTGCCATAAGCACCAAGACTTTTCAGAACTTTCTTTTGTGAAGATTAATTTATGTTATAAATTGTTTACTCCTGGGACTTACAGTAATGTAGGACTGCAAGGTCCGTCTGAACCGCAAACTCGGCAGCTCAAACTCACCAGCCATTCTTTGGAAACCCTATACAGGGTCACTATGAGTAGAAACTGACTGGACGGCACTTAACAACAACAAGGACCAGTTTACCATCACTGCCAAAACACTCAGAGTGTCCCAAATTCCTAGTCTGGAGAAGGAGCAAAGGACTAGTTCATATAAGCAAACCACTGTTCCGAGGCCACAAGTTAAGGAACTTTTTGATGAAGTCAGTGAGTCCTTGGATGGTTTGTGTTTGCTCTACAGCCCACTTGTTTGTTTTCATAATAGGGGTTTCTCCCACAACCTTTGTCAGGAAGTCAATTTGTTTCTTGGCATCTCCGGCAGGTTCCTCTGACCCTGGGGAGACTGCAGTCCTTTGCCACCAGCAGCAGTAGAGGGTGTGTCATGTACAGCACAGACGCCCGCTTCTCAGCCATCTTGCTTGATTCCCTCTTATTGTATATTGCTGCCATGTTAACATGTGTCTACACTCTAGCCCATGAATAATTTCCCATCTCCTCTATATCTGTAATCATCATAGAGGGCTCCTCCCTTCCTGCTGCACAAGCCTCCTCCCAGTCAGTACACAATGTCCTCCTGGGAGCCTGGGGAAGGGAATTCAGTGGAGTCACCGGGTGATAACGCTCTGGGAGGAAGGAGCTGTGGGCGTGTCATCAGCGTTGTGGTTCCTAATCCTGTTGGAATGTTTAAGATAGTGCTAGCAGAAATTCGGAGTCTTGGTGTGATTCTGTGGGATAAGTACTGGACTGCTAACCACAGAGTCAGCAGTTCAATTCCACTAGCAGCTCTGTGGGAGAAAGATGAGGTTTATGTTCTCATAAAGATTTACAGTCTCAGAAACCCTATACAGGGTCGTGGTGATTTGAAATGGACTCGATGTCAGGGTTTTTGGTTGGGGAGGTAACTTATTGCTCAAATCCATTCTCATAAGTAGACAAGGACTACTTAATAATAGATACCACGGAAAATATAAAATTTAAAACATTAACACTGGAGTAAAACCAGAACATTGCTGAATAAACTGATATCTGAATCATATGAAATGGAACTTTCTGTATTTACCTTGTTTTGTATGGCCGTGTCATTTTCAACTTGTAACGGGCCCTGCTTAGGGTTTCTGAGGCTGGTGCCTTGCGTTTGAACTGCTGACCTTGGAGTTAGCAGTCCAATGCTCAACTTATCCCGTTGTTGTTAAGTGTCCCTCCCCCCCTCTCCCCCCCCCACACCCTCCCTCCCCCTCCCTGGAGCCCAGGAATTTTCTTCCTGTGCCCAGTGTTACTGACTAAAATCTGTTGGGGAATTGGACCCAGGCATCGTGAGTAAAGTCCTGATTAAAGAGGGTGAAAGAAGACAATGAAAAAAGAGTTGAAGGTACAGAGCAGAGGGTCTGAAAGCCAGTGGGGAGAAGGCTATCTGTTGCTAGTGACCTAGGTGTTTGGTGGGGGAGAAACAACCTGGGTGGATTCTGTCCTCAATCATGAAATGAAACTGAGTTTGCAAAGAAAGGGAGACTTTGTTCATGATAGAATAAAACTGGAAGGATATGGTTAGCATGGCTCTTGTGCAAGGATGACACTCAATTTCCTGAAGCATTCCATAGTTTTGGAAAATCAGTTGATTTCATTGTACAAAATAATCGTGATTTTTATTCTGTAAAGTTAAAATATAAACAAAAGAAAGGGAGACTTGGCTCCCTCTTTCCTGTAATCATATGTAAATGGCTTAGAAGAAACCTAGCTTATTATCATTTTAAAAGCATTTGCAGTGTGGAGAGGGGTGAGTTGAGTAAGGGTGCTGGAGCAGCCATCCCTAGGAAGTCCCTGAGAAGAGTGGCCCTCCTAGAGGACAGGACTCAGGACCAGATGTCAGGAAAACTGTCTGCCATCTACCTCTCTGCCCTTCACTACCGTGTGTGCTCTAACAATCTCATAGAATGAGTTTTTCTCATTTGTAAATATGGAGACAGACAGGACATTTCATCCCAACTGTCCAACAAGTGATCCTTCTTTTTCACAGACCCTCCACTTTACCAAGCATGCGGTCCTTCTTCAGGGACTGATCCCTCTTGATAATTAAGTCCGAACTATGAAAGACCAAATTTGGTCATCTTGGCTTCTAAAGAGCATTCCAGCACAGATTTGTTTGTTCTTCTGGCACTCCAACGTACTTTTAATGTTCTTCTCCAGTGCGGTAACTAAAACGCAGCAACAATTCTCCTATGGTCTTCCTTATTCATTGTCCAACTTTCACATGCGTGATGGGCTACTGAAATCTTTAAGTGGGTAGATATCCTTATCTCTCTCTCTTGCGGAAGGTCTGGTAGATTTGAATCGCTAGCCTTGCAGTTAGCAGTCCAATGCTTAACCCGCATGGCCACCAAGACTCCTTCTAAAAGAAGGAGGGAATGAATTGTAGAGGCTGAAACGTCTAAGGGAGTATGTCGTGTGAAGATTCAGCTGTGGAAGGTGCTTCTGAGAGAGACAGGGGTGAATGAAATCTGGAAATGTGTGTGTTGACTTTTCCAGTTGTCCTGTATGTGGTCTAGGGCAGGTGTGTTGGGAGAATGACAATGCTTTGGTCTTCCTCTAAATTAGTCCTGGATGAAAGTGCAAGCGGGATGTAATTGGGTGGGGGGACTGCAAAAAGGCTCTTTCGGAGACCCGCGCTGCTCTGCAGGTCCGGAGTCGCTTTTGCAGGGAGGGTCGCAGTGACCGGAACATACTTCTGAATTTGGGCCAGAGGGCTATTCTGGATTTGGGCTCAGCGCGGTTCCGGCAACATTTGGCCAAGTGCCTCTGAGGCTTTCACTTGAACTTGTGGAAATCGCAAGGTGTTCTTGCCCATTGCGGGTGTCTCAGCGTCCTGCCTGAACGTGAGAGAAACTGAAAAGAACTACTGTCTCCATGCTGAAAAAACGTCTTGTGGGAACATGGAGCGTGATCAATTCAACTGTGGAAGGTGCTGTTGAGAGGTAGGGTTGTTTGAAATATATAGATTCTCCCGGAAAGTCCCGCCCCTCAATGCTCCGCCTCATTGCTCATTCTTCCTTCCTATTTGCCCCAGAATCCATCTGTCAGAAAGTTTTACGTTTCATTGGGTGGGTAGCGTCCATATATTTCTTGCAAAGATTTAACTCGGGCCGCGGTCTCAGCTGGACTACTGGAAGACAGCGGTGATGAAGAAGGCACTTTTCCTGTCGCTTCTTTTCAGGGCTGGCTTTCTCATATTCCCGGGCCCTGCAGCTGGTGAGTAGGGTTGGTTCCCAGCGTTCCTCGGCCGAGCTCCGGGAGGATTTCAAAGAATGTCGCGGGAAAAGTTTCTAGTGCGGTCCGGTGACTGTGGGCGGCGGTGGGGCCTCGAACGGCCTCTTGCCAACACTCAGAACCAGGCTTTTCTAAATCTTTTCGGTGCTCTACGGGGTCTCGAATCCACACTTCCCCCACATTGCACGCCTTTTCTGATGGTCACCCGCTGGCTTTTCAGACAGCCCAGTTATCTGTGTCCCAAGGCCAGGCCACCGCCTGTGCTACTCCTTTGAATGAGGTTCTGGGGGCCATTTTGCACCCTGTGTGAGGAGGCGTTTTTGGGCCCAAGAATGTCACCCACCCACCGGCAGCAGCGCTCGCCCACCCTCACTCCCTGCACCCGTGCGGTATAGCGTGGTTGAGTCAGCAGCTCAGCTCCCATTCCAGTCCTATTTTCAAGTAACTAGAAGGATCCCTGAGGAACTTAACTCATCCGTGTCTCAGGAACTGGAGGGGTGGGGGCTCTTTACAATGACCTGGAACTCATATGGGCCCCATCCCCCTACCGAACCTCCCTTCTTCCTGCTGTGCGGACAGACTCTCACTCTGGCAGAGGTTAGAAATGTGAAAGTTTCAGTGGTCACGGGATTCTTCTGGAAACTTCTCAGGTCTGGGCCCTCATTCCTCCCCTTATGTCTGAAGTCCTCTCCCCTGTTGGTTCTTACCCACCACCCTGAGATGAACTCTGATTTTCTCATCTGTTCCGTTCCCTCACTCCCAGAGGGTTTTCAACCAGCGTCCCTGGAGAGTCTCTCAGGTGCAGACGTTCCTGTGGGCGGCGGTTCTTCTAGGCTGCTCTCCCTCTTCCCAACACTCTTAAAATGAACTCAGATTTTCTCTTAGGCTTTGGCCCCACACCAGCATCTCTTCTCACTCCATCCCCTTGCCCCTCCCTCTCCTTTCTGTCTTCTCTCTCCAGTTCAATCATCTGTTTTTAGTCTGAGTCCTCACTCTCATCTCCTCCCTCTCCCCAGCTCCAGGGCCATTCTCCTCCCCTCTCTTAAAAAAAAAATTTTAAAATGTATATTAAAATTTTTAAAATTAACATCATAGTAGATCCTATAGTACACAAGAAATTCCAACCCCATAAATCATCTGGATAATCAGGTATTCTTCTTGGTAAAGGGGTAAACCCAACAAAATGCATTGGAATAAAAGTTAATAAAACTGAGCTCATAAATATTGGAACAATAAATAGAACAACTTTATTTGTGAATATAATTCCAAATAACATTCTCTGTATAAATATTATAAAAGATAAAAGTCCTATAATAGCTCCAATTGATAAAACAAAATGAAAATGGCCAACTACATAAACTGCATCATGTAGAGCTACATCTACTCCAGCATTTCCTAAAATTACACCTGTAGTACC